GCGGAGCTGGAGTCGGGGTGCAGACCCGGAAGCCGTCGCCACCGTCACCTCCAGAACTTCCCATCGTCCCAACCCAAGGCCCCGTCCCCATGAGACACGCCCCGCAGCCCCTGGGAACCACCACCCACATCCTGTCTGTGCGTCTGACCTCCGGGTCCCTCACAGACGCGTGACCTTCTGTGTCCGGCTCGTTTCACCGAGCACAGTGTCCTCAAGGCCCGTCCACGCTCACAGGTGTGGAATGTCCTTCTTTGTGTTAATCCTCGCCCGAGGATATTGTCCCATTGAGTTTTTTATGTTTCGTAGATATATCTTTATTGATTTCAGAGAGAGGAAGTGAGAGATTGAAACATCAATGATGAGTCCTTGATCAGCTGCCCCCTGCACGCCCCCTACTGGGGATCGAGCCCACAACCCTGACCTGGAATCGAGCTGTGACCTCCTGGTTCACAGGTCGACGCTCAGCCCCTGGGCCACGCCAGCCGGGCTTCCACTGATTTTTTTTTATAAAGATTTAAACATTTTTTTAAACGGCTCTGACTTCTGACAATTTTTATTTTATTTTATTTTAGTATATCTTTATTGATTTCAGAGAGAGGAAGTGAGAGATTGAAACATCAATGATGAGAGAGACCCATTGATCGGCTGCCTCCTGCACGGCCCCCACTGGGGATTGAGCCTGCCACCCGGGCCTGTGCCCTTGACTGGAATTGACCCAGGACCCTTCAGTCCGCAGGCTGACGCTCTATCCACTGAGACACACCAGCTAGGGCTCCACTGATATTTTTAGAGAGAGTGGAAGGGAGGGAGGGAGAGAGCGAGAGAGAGAAACATTGATGTGCGAGAGACACAGCAATTGGTTGCCTCCTGCAGGAGACCCCATTGGGTCTGGGAATTGAACCTGCAGTCCAGCTACATGCCCTTGACCAGGACTAAACCCCTCAACCCTTTGGTTTCTAGGCCAGAACTCCAACCACTGATCCACACTGGCCCGGCCAGCTCCCTCCTTTTTTAAGGCTGAATAATATTCCACTGTCTGGAAGGACCACATTCACGGGCGTCATTTCCTCTCACTGCTGAATAGCTCACCCGTGTCCTCCCACCTTCACAACACCGGCCCCCGATCAGTCTCCTTCGTGTCTTGTTCCGTCTCTGCCAGGGAAGCCCCGCTTCCTGGGTGGGTCTGTCTCGGGGGTGGGTCTCCAGCACCGTGACGCACGTCCAGCCCCACAGGCCCCCGCGCACGTGGATGGGGGCACTCGGCGCCCGACTGTCCCCGTGGACCTCGGGCCCTCCGGTGTCGGGCGCTGAGGCATCTCTGTGTCCTGTCCCCACCCCCCACCCCCTGACAGCGGAGCTCAAGTTCAGCCTGGACCAGTACGTCAACAAGCGGTACCCGGGGCTGGTGAAGGTCGTCCGCAACAGCCGGCGCGAGGGCCTGATCCGGGCGCGGCTGCAGGGCTGGAAGGCGGCCACGGCCCCCGTCGTCGGCTTCTTCGATGCCCACGTGGAGTTCAGCACCGGCTGGTAAGGGCGTTTCGGAGCCACGAGCCTGCCACCTCCAAATGCAACTTTAAATAAAATTATAAATATATTTTTATGGATTTCACAGAGAGAAAGGGAGAGGGGAAAAAGAGAGAGAAACATCCATGATGAGAATCATGGATCGGCTGCCTCCTGCACGCCCCCTGTGGGGGATGGAGCCCAAAACCCGGGCCTGTGCCCTGACCGGGAATCAAACCCTGATGCTCAGCCACTGAGCCACGCCCGCTGGGCCGGCCCACGTGGTCTGATAGCCTTGGTGTCGATTGGCTGTCGCTGTCGCTGCCCCCGGCAGGGCAGGCGAGTGGGTTGCAGGGCCTGCTCTGGGCTCCTGCTGGGGTGCGTGGCCCCACCTTGGCCCTCCCTGAGGCTCGTTTACCGCAGGGCCGAGCCCGCCCTGACGCGGATCCGGGAGGACCGCCGGCGCATCGTGCTGCCCGCCATCGACAACATCAAGTTCGACACGTTCGAGGTGCAGCAGTACGCCAGCGCCGCCCACGGCTACAACTGGGGGCTGTGGTGCATGTACATCATCCCGCCCCAGGACTGGCTGGACCGCGGCGACGAGGCCGCGCCCATCCGGTGAGCTGCCGCCGGGCCCCGGGGGCCAGTAGAGCCGAGGCTCTAACCACTGAGCACCGGCCGGGCTGGGACCTGGTTTCTTAATTTCCCTGCTCT